TTTTTTTAGGGAGATAAACCAAAAACAACTTTGATTATTTTTCAAAATGTACAAATTTTACAAAAATATTACATTCTGGTTAATTATCTATGACAAATAACAAAATAGTTTTTGATTACGACATCAAACTTGGCTTAGGGTAAAACTAGGAACATAACATGTAAGGCCATCTTTAAATAATTGTTTGTTTGCCCTTCCCCAACCGACTGAAAAATGACCCAACGTAAATCTTTTTTAAACCTCCAGGAAACTATTATTTTTTATTCAGTACGAAGTTTTTCCATTCCATTATTAACTATTTCAACTTCATATTTGCAATTGTTTTTTTTTTTCTTTTTGTTGAAAAAATACCTACCTACCCATTTTTTTTATCCTGAGTCGGGAAATGGCGAGCAAACATTTTTTTAAAGATTGACTAGCATTAATCATGATATTTATATTCTCCCTTACTACGTTCATAATTATACTATCTCTTAAAACTGTATTCAGAAAGAAGTTTGAAAAGATAAGATCGAAACTCATGCATTATATGGAATGCTGCTCGTCAAAACATTTATTACAACACATTTTTATATCATAACATTGACATTCAACATCCGAACATATTACTTATGACTTTCATTTATCATATAATGATAAAAATATATATACATCTAATTTACTGGTTTCCATTCCTGAACATGTATACGAGCGAATCTATAGTGATTTTGCAAGCACGCACTTGCTATTTATATGATCATATCACGTGATATAAAAACCATACAGATCCACCACTCCATAATAAGTAAACGATAATAATATTAACTATAAACCACATTTAATCCATTAGATTTATAAATTTAACTAATTTCTAGCACGTCTAAAAGAATTAATCATTATCGAGGCCCGTGAGCTACAAAGGTCATCTGGGTCACCCACTTTTCCTATTTATTCCTAGAATCATTGCAAAATATGCGTAAATAGAATTTACTACATGTAATTAACAAAACAATCAAAATAAAAAAAATTGCAAAATAAAAGATGTGAACTTCTAGTACAAATGTTTAATTAGTGAGTTTTTCTTTAAAACTGATATATTCGTAGAAATTGCATATCTATTGTAAAACAAAGCTATTTCACAATAGTGGTGTTAATTATTATGCATATTTATTGTACATGTATATACATGCACTCAACCAAGAAAAAACTAAGTAGACAAAGAAGAAAATTTGCGACATTTCGATACCCGGTATTTCTGCATGCATATCGATATGTATATCGTTTTCACAAAGAATCGAAATTATCGATATATCGTCCTAGCCCTAGTCGTGATCTTTTTTAATTTTGACTAGACTGAGTACATGTAAATAACATTTGACAGACCTAATATATAAAGTAGATTTTGAAACCTCCAAATGAAGCTTAGAAGACCTAAACAAAAGATAAGCACGATTCTTGCTAAAGGTTCAAACGGGCCTGTCTTTGAGGTACATTAACCTGTCTTTGTATAATAAAAGAGACTCCTACACCTGTAAGCATATACATACACCAGGCCTACTCCTGATATCAATATTGATTTTCTAAGACATATCTATGTTGTTTAACAGACGAAATAATTTGGAATACTAGTATAATAAGATATAAATACAATATACCCATGGGCTACGTTGCTCACTTGAGTAACCTTTGACCTGATGTTTAATATTCAGAAAAAATACCCTGAAAGGTAATATTTAATGATACTAGTATAACCAAAGTAGAATCCACATATTAGAATACATCAATATCAATATGACTTACATGGCCCTGATGTTTCTCCATCAGGATTTTTTTTACAAGTGTTCTCCCCTATACACATTTAAGAATCTGATCACAACTCTAGCTCTAACCTAATACCTGGGTCCATAATTTAATAAAAGCTTTCTAGTACTGTTGTCCCATACAGAGACATGATATGATGTAAAACTAATATTTATACTACCTTGCTCAGTCATTCTACGATAAAAGGACCAATTCAGGGTATGTAACATGAGAAAAAATAATTGTTTCAAATAGCAAGTTGAACAACACAATTCCCCAAGGGACATATCAGTGCACTTGAACAAAAAATTATCCACAAGTCTGGTATCGTTAACTTTTTACAACAATTTAAATATACCATTGGTTTTAAGGTACTGTTATGGAAGAAAATGCTTGGACAGGCCCGATTATTTTTTTAGATAAAGCTGAATTTGACTAATTTTTCGTTTTCTGATGTTCATATAGAACGCTAAAGTATGATTTTTGAAATCTCGCATGAATTCGCTATTAAGTTAAAATTATGGGTAAAATATCGTTACGGAAGTTAATTTCTAGTATCAAAAGTTGAAATTCACGGCAATAGATAAAATTTACGTTTGTGTTAAGAGGTTAATCAAAAGTATGCAGTATTTCGCTCCCAAAATAATTAAAATGTTTATACCCGTAACGCAATAACATTCTTGACCGTTCACGGTAGCTCAGTCGGTAGAACGCTCGCTCCGTGATCGGGAGGTCGTGAGTTCGAATGTCGGCTGCGACTGACCTAACTCGATAAAAAAATGGGTAGCAACTATTTCTCCACCATGCGCTCGGCACTTTGAAGTGAAAGTTGCGGGTCCTTCGGATGAGACCTTAAGAACCGACGCCCCGTGTCACGGCAGGCGTTGGAACGATAAAGATCCCTCACTGCTCAATGGCCCTAAGTGCCGAGTAAAGGTCAAAATTTGAAGCCCTTCACCGGTACATGGTGGCGTCTCTATATGATGAAAAATTCTAGAATGAGACGTAAAACAACATACAATCAATCAATCAATCAATCAATAACATTCTTGAATTACCTTTACGGAAGTTAAAGTTTTAAGAGAGACAACTAGTTTTTTTTTTTTAATTCAATTTGTTATGTCGAGAATGTAATGGTCTAAAGTGCTGACCCGCAACTGGAATCGATGATATTAGATTCCATGGTCACTTTAAGGTAAGTTTCAGTTCTTTGTAAAATCTGCATTCTGTCCGCGAAATTTAAAACAAAATCGTTACGGAAGTTAATTGATTTTAGCCACAGGCTATGATATCGTATGGAAGAAGATCCATGCATTTCTTCGCGAGAAGTGGTTTGTTTTCTTTTTATATAGGAAAAAAACTTTTCTTAAAAATTCCTAGCAATCTACTCGGAACGCTTATGACGGCTGAAAATTTCGTCTTAAAATGTGTAAATAAATGAAGGGACATCAAGATTTGCAGTGGAATATCTTTGTAAACATTTATACTATGCTCATATCAAAACTTTAACTGGATATATATATCACTAAATATTTACAAACCATGTGTCTATTTGAAGTTTTAGAGTTGAAATCGATCTTTAAAATTATAGTTAAGATATTACAAAGGTAAATTTGTAAGCGACATAAAAGAAATCTTTATTGGGCATGTTTTTGTAGTATGACTGTACTATGTTTGCATATTAATTTGACTGATCATGGTCCATGCTAATCTGAGAAGACTTTTTAAAAAATGTCCTCTATATATTTATTCTCATATCTAGTATATATTGTATATTGTATATAGTATATATTGTATAGCCTCATCCTATAGCTACCCCCAAGAAGTTGAATCCATGCTATTTGAGGATGCTACTATACTTCCATATAGATATGATTATCTATGGATCTGCTGAAGATGATTTTGAAAGTTCTCTTCCTATATTTCCATGTACGTTTTTAAATTTCGATCCTTTATTTACGCCGTACCCTACCTCCGTGGGGCCATTATCTGAACAAACTTCAGTCGACACTGATGTACAAAAAAGCTAATAAAAGTTTCATCTTTTCTGGCCATGTGGATCTTGAGAAAATACTACTAATTTTTACATATCTATCCTTGAAAGAGGGCTTGGCTCTTCATTTGAACAAACGTGAATCCCCCTTACCCATGTATATAACTCCCGGTAGTTTGGTCACTACTGAATAAATCCTTACACGGAAAGGGGGTTTCAAAGCGCTTTTCGACGCAATAATAATATTTACACGCCATACTCGCCGAGTGGTTTTATGTTCGAAACATAAATGAAACGTAAAAGGTTATTTGTTTTGCCAAAATAAAGGATTATACCCGTCTTGTAAATAGAGTCAACTACACTGCTGCATTATATTTATATAGAGATAACGCTTCATGAGTCGTGGATATTTACATTCAAATTCTTTCTCTGTCACGAGTTTCTGCAACGCCCTCTTTATCGAAATTAAAGGTGTTAATAAAATTAACTGAAGTTGTTGACGAGATGAGAAAATGCCGAAATGGGTAAAAAATTGTTTCCTACAGGTTAAAAAAAAATTTGAGTAGGACCATTTTAGTAAGTACAAATATTTTTGTTTAAAGATGGCCTAAATAGAAAACGAAAGAAGTCTTGCCCGGTATTTCCTTCCAGTGTGCTGCGAAACAGTCCGCCATTTGTATGAAAAGACTTTAGTTAGGTAACCTACTTAGGGTTACTGTGGTTTCATCAATATTCGTTGAGCACCAATTTTCGGGGATTTCGTTCTTGGGCAGACCCACAAAATTAAATGTTCATTGATTTACGAAATATGTTATTCATTTGTATATTCAATGCTTTTGTCCACGAAATTACGTATCCTCGAAAACGTCTGTTTTACAAAATACACGAAAATTGATGCCAACGAAAATTGATGAAACCACAGTATTTGAAATGTGTGTGCAATATCTACAAACAACATACATGTACAACAAAATTATGATATGTCCGTGTATACATATCGCATAATTAAAGTTATTTAAATGATATTAATTTTTTAAGATTATTGTTAAAATTAATTTGCAAAATAGTACCTTAATTATTACCTTCATCCAAACTTTACAATGTCTATTATATTAAATGATGTACTCTCTTGATTACTTGTTATAATGTCATATTACTGATGCATAAATTTTCTTAAAATACATGAAATATAGCTTATTTAGAACTGTACTAATCTTATATATATAGAATGGATCATATTCCCCGTCTATCAGAGGTCCTCTATGTTGGTCTGTGTCGTAAATTAGGGACACCGAGAGAAATAGCCATCAGAAGGGACGTGTTGGACATGGAGGAAATGATAATGAAACCTTTTTACATCCATGGAGGAGTTATAGAGATGGTGAGTGGTAGTTATAGAGAGGGATTTAGGCTGAGATCATCTGACAGGGATTTCATGACCTGGATTTGTAATTGTAAACTAATAACTGACATCTCTCATTTCCAGATTAACAATACCTTAAAACATCATATAATATTTATGGAAGATTGTGAAACACCACCAGGATTTGTCAGACTACGCCTTCTGACACCAAATTATGCACAATCCAGTATCATAAAGTCATGTCTTGTTGCTTTTAATGGCGGTCTTTATATATCAAGTTCTTTAATGAGGGATACCTTTTTTGATCTCTTTACTAGTAACAGATTTTCTTCTTACAAAAATAAAACAATTCATGGTCCTTGTATAAGTGGCTTTGTAAAATGTATTGAATTCGATCATGTTCTTTGTTTTGCCATAATATGTTGCAATAAATTCTTAAGAAATTTAGTGGAAAGATGCCAAAGATATGCCTGGCCGTCTTTACCTGTGTTGGAAAAAATCATAAGAAATCGATGCCACTGTGTACCTATTGGAAGTAAACTTGATTCGCCTTATAACGAATTGGAATGGAGATTATCGTTTTCTCAAGCCGAACAACAACTAGTTTGTACCATGAATCATACACAATTTCTGTGTTATGGACTTCTGAAAATATTTCTGAAGGAAGTTATGAATAACCGGCAAGAACCAATACTGTGTTCGTATTACATGAAGACCACAATGTTTTGGATAATGCAATTGGGACACGTTCAATGGTACCCAAATAATTTATTGGACTGCTTTTGGAAGTGCTTCAAATACCTGATTCATTTTGTTTATCCTGGAGAGTTTCCCAATTTTTTTATTCCTCAGAACAATATGTTCATAAACAAAGTAGTCGGTGATATACTTGAATCTCTTTTACAGGAGCTTTATCAGTATTATAGAATGGGCGTGTCCTGTTTACCGCTGAGTCCGACTCTCAGATCAATCCTAGAATCAGCCCTTTGTAGCCCCTCATATGTATTATCCTTTACTGAGAATAATACAGATATAGATTTGTGTGGCTACAGGGAGATATTCCATCTCTTGTTTCATACTAGAGAGCTATGCCATTGTTATCTCTACTTGATATCAATTGATAAACTATCGCGATCATTTATCTCACCATACCAATTATTAACATTACAGTTTTGTACTGTTGAGACTCTCGTTCAATTAGCTTTCATAATGGCAAAAAGTACTTCATGTTACACACATAAAAATGTCTACATCTTAAATAGAATGATCTGTAACATGCTGAAACTTGTAGCAAAGTTAGGCCTCGTGTCTTATTCATTATATTTAGCATTGTATTACTATAGAACAGGGAGATATAATGAAGCACTACTTATCACTTTTCTCACTAAGCGAAGACTGTCTCAGTACTTTATCATATATATCAAACCAGCTGTTGACTGGCATAGTTACAATGAAGCTTTAGGTAATCTCTCTTTGTCTAGAAGGATGACAATGACCTGGGTATACAATGTGAGGATATCCGACAATAATCCATGTATTGAAGAATTAATTTCTGAACAAAGTGTAATTCAACAAAATGGATTTCAATTCTTACATATATCACCATTTGTTATGGTAGAAATGTTGTCTGTGTTATCTCACTACAGACTAGGTAATAGATCTCAGTGTTTACAGTCACTGACAGACCTACAGACAATGCTGCTCAATGATGATGGGACGTATGTTCCTTTACCATTAAGAGACATATCCTGGCAGATACTAGGTATCTGTCAGCATGTTGTGGGAGACTTAGACGGGGCTTTGCTGTCTTATCAAGAGTCGCTTAGACAGGAAGCGTACCATGGAATACAAGAAGCTACATATGTTAGAATAGAATGGGTTAAAGGACAATTAGACAGAAACACATAAACAAAGACACATGTTTTCTTTTTAATTTTTTATTATAATGGTCTGAGGATTTTTTAAGTACACTGTAGTAGATCAGTTCACTTAACTAAATAATATTTCAAATTTGCCTAACAGTATTGTTCGAACTTGTACATTTTTTGGTCATTAAAAAGGAAAACATTTTTCTATGTTGCGTTCCATGCTGTACAAATTAGAAAGGTAAAATTGCTCCATATGTTTTTACATTTGTTTAATATATACGTTGAATTTATGTTTGCCTAGCTGAACAAAAACGAACATTACATTATATTGTCAGCATATGCTCCTAAAAATTTATAAATCATTTTTTAAAAATATTTTGTTTGACATGTTTCTCATGATCATTGGATTAATTTGTGTTTAGTTTTACGTTTTTATATATTGAACAAACATGCACATGTATGTTGATTTCATTTTTTTACTTTTATTTATTTCTTTATTATTTCTTTTATTTCTTTGGATTTTACTGTGAACTTTATTGGTTTGACAATCAGTTGACAAATATGAGGAAAATCAAGCATCTGAACCATCTGTGATAGAATGAAACCTTAGATGTATCAAGTTACATAAGACTGGTTGCCCGCGCGTGGCAAAGTGGTTAGAGTGTCTGCTCTAGAGTCGTGGAGTAAGGAGTTGATCCTTATGTTGCAGGTTCGAATCCCACTGTGGGACGTGAATGAGATCGTATAAACCGAGGACCCGTGCCGCAGCAGGTGCTGGAACGAAAAAAAGACCCCTCACTGCTCAATGGCCCTGAGTGCCGAATATAAGTCAAAATTTGTAGCCCTCCACCGGCAAGTGGTGGCGTCTCCATATGAATGAAAAAAAATTTCGAGAGGGACGTTATAAATAACAAACAAACAAACAAACATAAGAGTGACACCCCCTCCAAAACCTTTAACATGCTCACTCATCAAGACAATGTAGGACAGTTTCAGCATCTGAAGGAAGTGTGGTAGTGTGCATCGGAATATGTATAATAAAGCAAATCTGGTTCAACAAGTGCTTGTATATTTTATAGCTGCTCAAAACACTTTAACCTGCTTAAAACATTTAACTTGACATTCTTTAGTTGAAATGCAGTGTTACAACGAACTTTGAAAAAAAAATTCAAAGTGCGTTAAACTTGGGACCAAATTAATGCAATTTGAAACAGAAATATTTCTTTTCAAATTGCGTAATATCGACCATAGTAACACATTTAAAAAATGTGCACGAGTTGCATTGTCAATATTCTTGCAAGTATTAGGTATGATAAATAATTATTTACTCGTTTTGTAGCAAGTTGACTCCTGAATATTATTTATCATGCATAGTTATTTTAGATTTTTTTTTTTTTTTTTTTTTTTTTTTTTTTTTTTTAGAATTTCTTTTAAATAGAAATCCTAGTTCCAGAATGCCAGAGAATTGCACATATATCTCCGTGTGGTTCATATGGGAAATATGGATTTAAAAAAAAAAATCTGGATGTTGATTAGTTAGAATAATCTAACTGTGTCTCGGGACAAGCCCTCACCACAGTGAGAATACGTCCCATATACTTGCAATGTAGCAAATCGGAGTGGATCCACTCCGAAATGATTTTGAAAAATACAAAAGGAGTTGCAATGAAAATAACTACCAAATTAATCATAACAAACCTTTTTGAGATTGTATATGCCTATTAACCTAAAGAATAATCCATATATATATATATATATATATATATACGAAAATTCAACTCACTTTGTCAAAGTATTTTCCTCGCTTCAAATTTAACGCCATGTTGACATTCGGAACTCTCTGGATTGTTCATAGAAAATGCACAGAGTGCGAGTTATCGCCCGTGTTTATTTTGCAACATTGCCAATACACGGAACGAATTCTATCGTTAAACCGGGTCCGTAGGACAATATCATTTTAACGATAGAACGTTCTATCTAGATGTTGATGTGCACATTTTTGCAGTATTAAGGATTAAACATATTCAGGTATCTTTGCAGTTTACACATGTATTTCGAACTGCGACTCTGGTCTAGCAAATCTTATAATGAATTCTTACTCTCCAAATGAGAAGTGATAAGATTTGGTGAAGTAACATTAGTATCTAAGGATGGTTTGGATAAGTCCTGACTGACATTGTCTTAGTGTATGACAAAAAAGCTAAAGTCTAGGACCATAAGGGAGATATATATTTGCAATTACATGTAAATAATGTGGACGTAAGTGTGCCGTTTCTTTATATATTTCGAAGACGTTACTTCCGTCCGAACAGCCTACAGTTCGTATTTTTTTTATTTTGAATATCGAGCAACTTCGCCGTAAATTGACACCACAAACGCTAATCATATAGTCACTATCAGACTTTGGCGTGATGTGTCTTTAGGAGGCGTGCAATCAGACTTTGATGTTAGTGCTTGCAAAAAACTCAGCAGAATTCGGTCTTTGTTGAGACTATCAAACTTCAGAGTATTACAAATTGTGCTTTTTTACGTGAAAGTTTCTACCATTGCACTTGCTCAACACATTAAACATGTATAACATAAATTACATCGATGCCTTTAATGATCTACTGAGAGCTCTACGACAGAAATATTTGCAAGATATGTAATATGTTTGACATGTTTGAACAAAACAAGGATCGGACTTTGGAGTCTTATAAAGATTTTTTTTTTATTACATTGCACTGTTTTCCATAAAAGTGTTTATTTTTTTATATATTTTTCGAAAATAAAAACAGCTATAATATATTACAAACAAATATTGGCATCATTGAAGTAACTAGGTTTTTACTTAGCTCATATCTACTAATATTACTGATGTAAGTTTCATCGTAGGTTCTCCACATGATTTGGCACTAAAGTTACCAAGATATCTATAGTGATATACTCAGCTACCGGTGTCATAGAGTGAGACTTCCGCCATAGTGAGACTTCCCGCCGGAAGTCTGGCAATATAGTGAGTCTTCCCCCTGGGGGGAAATATGGCTGTATAGTGAGACTTCCCCCAATAATGACCATAGTGAGTCTTCCCCCTTCGGTTTTCGGTTTGGATTTTATATACATTGACATAATTAAATATTTATTGTATGCTTTAGGGACCTTTTAACTTTTATAAATTTTATGAAGTATTTTTAGGATTTGTATTTCATTTTGAAATTAAATTTGCGTGATATTAATGAAATTACATCACTATAAAATCAAATAAGATGGATTTGAGTTCTAATACACTTTAAATCAAATTCTGACTGTCATGCATATTTTAGCAAAGGCACCGGATGCATGGATTGGGCTTAACCCCCCCTTTTTTTTTTAAATTTATGACCGGAAAAATTGCATGAAAATGTGTGCATCCCCTGCTCATCACACCCATACATCAATTCATACAATTATTTTTTCATTTTGGTCGTGTTTTAAAAATTATTTATTTAAAGATATTTTATTAAACTGGGTTTGGACGATTGGATGTTTGAATACACGTATAAAAAATACGTAAAATTAAAAAAAAATATATACTGCATTGCAATTGTCACTTATTTGACTAAACTATTTTGTACTAAAGTCGGAGATGGCTAATTGTCAATTTTAGTGTGTAGATCTGTTTTGTCGCAATTTCATTTTTACACTTTATACGTTGAAACACAGAGCGTGCATGTATGCATCAGTCATTACTTGATTGAGATAAGATATTTGAATATGAATTAAAAAAAATAACAAAAATAATTCATTTGTTAACTTCAACACATGTACAAACCAATAAGTTGTTTGTTATTCCACACAAATTGAAAATAAGAATACCATGTTTTAATGCGTGGGGCGAAACATACTGGTAATTTTGAATCAGCATGTGCCATTCAACTTTTTAAATAAGTAACAAAAACTCAAGGATAATCACCATGAAATCTTTTAATTACTTAATTGGACAGCGAGTAGACATAGTCAAAATGCACCCCTGAATCATTGACAAGATATATGCATTCATTTTCACATGGTTCCTTGCTAAACATACTCGCGGCATACTTATTCCAAACAAGAGTATTGTTTTGTCTGCATAAAATGAGAATATCAGTACCTAACAATGCAGCAGTAGACAGAATTTCCGCCTCCGTCGCCCAGGTCCCCACCTGTTTCATACTGCTTTTTTCCAAATACTCATTTCCAAAATGCGATTTTGATAATTTTGTGATTTTTTGTCATCCATGCTACCACGGCTTCCCTGGCTTCCAAATGGTAAGCCTGAGAGCCTGAAATAGCGAGACTAATTGATCTAAAAAACAATTTCCATCCCCCTTCATGAAAAGCCTCATAATCGTATTCGTTAACTCGGATACCCTTTTCTCACAATGCACTTTTTTAATTTTCGCACTTTTGCCCAAAACTTTTATATGTTTTTGTTGCCACTTATGATCAACTGTATTAAATACAAATTGTTCATTCGTTGCTGAAAGAAATACATCATCTACAGCAATGTCTGAATGAATCTTTTGTGCTGGTTCAATATCAGGTATCTCATCAGTGGTTACGCGTCCAGCATCTGTTGGTTCAATATCATGCAGTTCATCGTTGGTTTCTCGTCTAGCATCCGTTGGTTCAATATCGGGAAGCTCATCGGCATCCTCGTTGCCCTTTCTTTGCACACCATTTCCTAAAAAAAAAATTACCTGTCTATCAATGCATTTCCGCTTTTCCAGAGTGAAATGATTATAAATGTTTTGTTTCTAAGATAAGCAGCTGTAAATCGCCACAAATTTATATCCGTATGCATGTATTACAGATTGTAATTTTGTTACAGTTATAAACGGCAAAAATATATGATGAGAGAGAGAGAGAGAGAGAGAGAGAGAGAGAGAGGTGAAGCTCTCGTTTACATGTACTAATGATATGTTTAAATTGATATATTTCAGCAACAAAAAATCATAGTGTCCATCTCGATCTTCAATAATATACCTTGAGAGTTACCATCACTGTGTTCTCTTTCTATGATGACGCGTTTTATTTTTCGTT